TGGGTATGGGAATCCAGAAGCTTGGGACACCAGTGAGGGCACATTTAGGGCACATTTCTGTGAGCCAGCTACATCAGGAACAAAACACTCCATTAAAGGTGGGGGGTGGGGTCTTCCTACTGGCCTGGCTTTATAACTTACTGCCATAGTTTAGGATTTACCAAAATAATTTACCACATTCAGTTGATTAAGAACAGTACAAATATAATGCTGCGTTTTACAAATCACCTTGACTATTTTGTCTGGATGTGCCTTTTCTTCTGAAATTAATGTTAACTTTCTATTGTTACTTCATCAGTACATGATTTTTTCAGAAAAAATAATAATTAGAAAGGTTTTTATTTATTGTCCAACTTTACCGTCTTAATCTGTTGGTCAATGTTTGTTAACAATCCCGTGATGTGAAATTTTAATTCTGGCAATAAGTTTGAAAAGTTACTTTTAATACTTAAGGCCTACATTTTCTAATATGAGACAAGTATATTCTAAATGTCTTTGTTCTTTATTATAATAATCTAAAAGCTCAATTCAATTTTTATTACATATATCATTCTTTTAAAATATTTGCTTTGATTCACAAGAATATACATGCTTTTAAAAAAGATCATTTATGATCAGAGAATAATTGAAAAAATAACATTGCAACAATGTTAATAATATATAACTAATGTTAACAATACTATTAATAATAATAAGTATCCTTATCTAAACAGACATTCTACCAAAGAAGATACACAAATGGCCAATAGGTACAGGAAAACGTGCTCAACATCACTAATCATCACAGAAATGCAAATCAAAACCATACGAGGTATCACTTTGCACCTGTTAGAAGGGTTATTACCAGACACAAGAAGTAACAAGTGTTGACAAGGATGTGGAGAAAAGCGAACTCTGGTGCACCACTGGTGGAAAGTAAACTGGTGCGGCCACTATGAAAAAAAGTATAGAGATTCTTCAAAAAATTAAAGATAAAACTACCATATGATCCAGCAATTTCTCTTCTGGGTATTTATCTAAAAGGAATGAAATCACTATCTTGAAAAGATTATCTGCAACCACATGTTCATTGCAATATTATTTACAATTGCCAAGACATGGAAAAAAATCTAGAATGTCCATCGATGAATGAATTAAAAAAATGTGATACACACACACACACACACACACACACACACAATGGAATATTATTCAGCCATAAGAAAAGAAGGAAATCCTAATATCTGCGACAACAGAAATGGATCTTGAGGGTATGAGGCTAGGTGAAATAAGTCAGATGGAGAAAGACAAATACTCACTTATATATGGAATCTAAAACAAAACCAAAACCAAAAAGCCAAATTCATAGAGAACAGATTGGTGGCTCCCAGAGGCTGGGGTTGGGAAGTGGGCAAAAGGCATGAAGGTTTTCAAAAGGTACAAATTTCCAGTTTAAAATAACTAAGTCCTGGGGCATGTGGGTGTTTCAGTTGGTTAAGCATCCAACTTTGCCTCATGTCATGATCTCAAGGTTAGTGAATTCGAGCCCCACTTCTGGCTCTCTGCTGTCAGCATGGAGCCTGCTTCAGATATTCTGTTCCCCTCTCTCTCTGCCCCTCCCCTGCTTGTGTTCTTTCTCTCTCTCTCCTTCTCAAAATGAATAAACATTTAAAAGTAAATAAACAAACAAATAAATAAGTCCTGCAGATGTCATGTACAGCCTGGTGACATACTGTATTCTGTATCTGGAAGTTGCTAAGAGTAAATTTTAAAAGTTCTTGTCACAAGAAACTGTAACCATACATGGTGATAGATGTTAACTTACTGTGGCAGTCATTTTGCAATATATACATATACCAAATCGTTATATTGCACTTAAAACTAATAGTGTTACATGTCAATTATATCTCCATTAAAATAATAAACACATATTTAAAATAAATAAATATCCTTGTACATTTGCTTTACATACTTTTACTTGCTCAGGATAAATTTCTACAAATGGAATTGTTGGCTCAAAGAGCCGTAGACTTTTATGGTTTTTGACACATCCTGCCTTCCCAAGAGTTGCACCAGTTTATATTTCCACCATCGATATATGAGTGCTCATCTTCTTACAGCATCGTTAACAGCTGGGATTACTATAGAAAATCTTTGCCAGCTTGATACAGAAAATCAGTTTTTCATTTGCTTTTTAATATGCTTTTTAAAACTCAGTGGTGTTAAACTTTGAAGCATGTTTTCTGGCCAACAGTCTTCCTTCTTTTGTGAAAAGTCCGTTCTATCATGTCTGATTTTTGATCTTTTCAATTATCAAAGCATTTAGTATAAGATTAGGCTATATCTACCTTATTTTTTAAAAAAATCCTAACAAACTTGTTTATTATGGCTGAATATTCTATGTAAAATATTTACAATGTTATGTTAGAGAACAGCCATTCCAGAGAGGGTATTATGAGAAGAAAAACCTCTTTTTTGTCATTGATTTTAAATGACCAGAGGATGAGACCTTATTGTTTTGATCTGAATTTGCTGAATTCAGATTATAGAATTAAATGTCCAATTTCTTAACATATTTAACTGGCACATTTTTTCCAGTTAAAAATAATTATAATTAGAATGCATTAAGGTCCAAATCTCTATCTAAAACCAAAATCTCTATCATTTAAAATTATTTTAGATCATTTAGATAAATTATAAGATTTTTAAAATCAAATACTTTTCATAAAATATCTTTAAATAACACATCTGTTAAAAAAAAGAAAAGAAAAGAAAAGAAAAGAAAAGAAAAAAGTTCTCCCAAGGGTCCAGTGTGAAACATTTATTTACATGGTAAGGCTGTAATAGCTACATAATTATTTTCCTTGGCACTGGAATGCAATTTCTATGCCCACAGTGGGGAAAGTATTACATTGTGGGCAAAATGGTAAAAACATAAGGTTAAAAAGGTAAAATAGAAACATATGGGGATAATGTGTCACTAAGGACACTATTTTGGTATGGAGAAATGCACAAAATGATTTCATTGTTTCTAATCAGAACCCCAATAACTTGCCAAAAGTTTTCTCTAGTCAGAGATTGGGCCCATTTTTCTCAAATCTGTCTTTTTGTTGGCTAAGGCAGTCATACTCTAAAATTCCTATGTGTAAAGAGGTAAACATGCAGATTTTATTTTAGGACAGATTTGCTGGGGTGAAAAATTAGTTATTTAATGCCTCCATTGTGGTGACCCGCTGGGTGGAGTGGGGAATATTCTGTTGTGGACACTCCAGAGCAATTCCACATGCAATACTCTTGGCCTTGACTTAAGTAAGCATCTGCCTCAGATTTCTTGTGCTCCTGACTTTAATTCTGATGCAGCCTAGGCCTTGACCTCTAAATTCTGACTAAGTCAATAGGAGCTCTGACCCTAATTCCAAACTGCTCATTTTGTTTGATAATTTGGATTTAGCACTGTTTGTCTTAAACTGAACTCTGATGCCTATTAATTTTGTGTATTGAATCAAAAGTATGTAATATCAGTCTGTAAAGATGGATATTTCTGTGGGACCCACAAAATCAAAAGATAAGAATATTAAAGAAAGGATAGTTTTTTCAGCAGTGAATGTGGCTATTTTTTTTTTTAAGATTTTTTTTTTTTTTAATTTTTTTTTTTCTTTTTTTTCAATGTTTATTTTTGGGACAGAGAGAGACAGAGCATGAACGGGGGAGGGGCAGAGAGAGAGGGAGACACAGAATCGGAAACAGGCTCCAGGCTCTGAGCCATCAGCCCAGAGCCCGACGCGGGGCTCGAACTCACGAACCGCGAGATCGTGACCTGGCTGAAGTCGGACGCTTAACCGACTACGCCACCCAGGCGCCCCAAGATTTTTAAGTAATCTTTACGCCCAATGTGGGGCTTGAACTCACAACCTTAAGATCGAGAGTCAATGCCCTACCAACTGAGCCAGACAGATGCCCCTAATGCGACTATTTTAGAGACCACTACAAAATTAACTGGTAAGTGACCCAGTCACAAAATCTGTCTGCAGCACCAAAAGCACGCTATCACTATATATGTATCTTCAAGTTATAGCTATAATAGAACTAAAGTGCTGTAAAATTAGATTCTTTACTTCCCTTTTGAATTTCTCCAAATATTCACTTCTCATGAATAAATATTCAAAAAGAAATTTAAATTAAAAAGAAAGAAAATAAAGTTGAAGTAACGTATAGCAGCATCTTTATCATGAAAATGATACTACAGTAACCATGTGATTAACATCACAGAGGATTTGGGGGAAAGAAAGACTCAACCAATTGCTTTAGTGTGCCTCAAAAGGTACAGAGGCTTATTATTTTTAAACACATTATATTCATATAGTTATGTCACAATACAGAATTTAAGTATAGTGAATTTTAAAAGTTATATTTGTAAAGTACAACTCAGTTCAGAGGGTATTTTCACACATAATTACTTGTCCTCAATAAAAACTCTATGAATAGACAAACATTATTAGCATCCTCATCTTACATTTAAACTCTTCTTAGACCACCTCATTTCCAATAGCATTCAACATCTTATTTCACATTGGCTGTCTTCCTGCTAAGTTCCCCGTTGGCACTTATCACCACTCAGATCTAATGCTTCTTTCAAATACTACATTAGAATACCTCACTCACGGTCTACAACCTCCTACCTTTCCAGGTTATTCAATTTTCCCCATTATGCCGATTCTTTCATTTTAAACATCCAATTTATTTTTTTTTTAAGTTTACTTATGTTTTAAAGAGAGGGAGACTGAGAATCCCAAGCAGGCTCTGCGCTGTCAGTGCAGAGCCCAACGCGGGGCTCAACATGGAGCTGGAACTCATGAACCCTAAGATCATGACTTAAGTCAAAACCCAGAATCGGGAGGCTTAACAGACTGAGGTGCCACCCAGGTGCCCCCTATTACACACATTCTTTAACCTCATGGGAATATCTGGGCCCTTTTGCCCTATGCATTCTGTATCTTCACTTCCTTCCCTATCCAGCTTACCTTGAATATCATCATTGAATGTGCAATACTGGTTTTGATATTTCTTCAGGAGACGAAATGCATTTATATTGGCAAAATCTTCAAATTGAATAAGGCAATTCATCCCATACCTATGGGACAAAACATTCATTTTAGAAGAGGTTCATGACATAACATACAAATAAACCTTTGAAATCAGTCTACAGAAAAGATAAAACCTTTTCTTTTAAAGGTTCTATTTTGCTACTTAGTATAAGTATGTAATACAATGTCTGTTCAGCAAATATTCACTTCACAGTACAGAAAAAGCATTGTGTTGGCACTGTGAAATAATACAAAAATGAGAAAAATAAGGTCCCTATCATCAAAGAATTTAAAATTTAGTAATTTTTAAAAAGTTTTTGAAAAAAATAGAAAGTAACATAAAAGCGATATAAACAAGCAATTATAGATGTTGAGAGGACAGATATTACTTCGGGCTGGAATCACAGACCTGGTAATAAATGAACTGAGTTGTTGTTTTTTTTTTTTTTTTTAATGTTTATTTATTTTTGAGAGAGAGAGAGACAGAGATACAGTGTGAGCAGGGGAGGGGCAGAGAGAGAGGGAGACACAGAATCTGAAGCAGGCTCCATGCTCTGAGCTGTCAGCACAGAGCCCAACCCGGGGCTTGAACCCACAAACTATGAGTTCATGACCCGAGCCGAAGTCAGATACTTAACCAACTGAGCCACCTAGGTGCCCACAAATGAACTGAGTTTTAAGGAACAGAGATGTAGGTTTTTATAAGCCAGGTAAATACGAGAAGCAACATGAGATGCAAATTGAGAAAGAAAAAAATTTTCAAAAAATAGCAAGAAACTCTATTTGGCTATAATGTGGTGATACATGTAAGGGTGTACTAAAAATAAGGTCAGAATTTTATATTGGAAACCTTAAAATTCTAGCCTAGGATTCTGGTTTTTATTCTATATTAATGGCCAAACACTGAAAGGCTTTGAGCTTTGAAGTACATTGGACAGATTTTTACTTCTGATATTAAATAGCTTACTTGTCTGACCCCTTATATGATCATCCACCTGGGTAACCTATCCAAAGCAAGAGGAATTAACATTATTGATAACCCAGGATTCTAAGAGTTGCCAGAGAAAGCCATATAGCCATGCTTTGCCACTACAGTTATATGGTCTCCAACCTTGGCTAGACTCCCACTGCCACCCTACATGTGATTCCTCTTATTTGTTCTTGGTCAGCTTCCACTTCCATTATACCCAGTGGCTATTCCCAAGCTTTCCCAATCCTTTAAAATCTTGACCTCTTCACATGTCTCCCACATCTGGCATAGTGAGGGCATAATACATGATCTCCCTCAACTG